GGGCCTTATCTGATAGGTGAAAACAACAACAAAATCTAAACTAGATGTGAAATATAAGAGCAGATTATGCCCTTCTTTCCCAAAACAAAACGACTTTGCCAGACCTTTGGAACAAGGAAAAGGCCATAGTTATAACCAACTGGTACTTAGGATTTAAAGCGGCCGTAGAAGGGAGGCATCCAAGTCAGTCTAACGTGTTGCCACCCCAAGGAAACCAGTGCTGTGCCCCAGGGTAGGCAGAAATGACAAATACGACTACGCTGACAACTCAGAAACAGGATTCCAGTCGTGTGGTGACTGGAAACAGAGCTCAAAGACCTATGGCCAGCAAGCTGCTGCTTACACAGCATTCAGGAGAGTGCTGCGCAATTTACAGAAGAAAAAAGTTATGTCCTGTTAGAACCAGAGCTCCAAAAAGTTTGGGTAATCTGTTACAGACAGCTTAAAGAAATCTTTTATACATTCACACATAGGTGAAAGCCATAAATTGTAAACTTACTAGCTGGAGAGTCATTAAATATTCAGCAAAATGATCAAGTGTTCAGAATGTTCCTCTCATCCAGTGAAAGGTACAGCATCTCTTCGGCATTTGCAAGGATTATCTATTTTTTCAGAAAAAAAGTCATTAGGCCTTTAAAGCAATTCTGCTGAAAGGGAGGGCAGGAAAGAAGAAAACGGAAATGTCAGCCTTTTACTTGTTTTGAGATCGTAAGCGTGCTGACTATAAAGTTTGTTGGCACTTTATAGACAACTGGAACGACTGTACTATATGTTCTATCGCCTTCAAGAGTACCTTTCTCAACATGCAGTCATGAATAACAGGATGTTTATACTACTTACCTCAAGTGAGATCAAAACATTTCTAACGTCACTGTAAACATTTTGAAGACATCACTGTAAACATTTTGAAGACATCAATTCTTACAGAATGCTCCTTCATGCCAGAGAAAAGGGCTGGCACAATTAAGACGTGAAACACGGCACCTTCTTGTTCAGAAGGAATAGTGGGCAAATGGTGTGGACTTTTTTTTTCCTCTCCATTTAATTTTCTCAATTTATTCAGAAAGGCAATTTATTTTGTTTGCTGCTAAAGCAGAGTGTTCATTCTCTCCTTGTCTCCCTTTTCCCCCTGATTAGGATCCTAGATGCAGGACATGGATGTAATTTCCAATTTTATTTTATAAACGTAAATAAATTAGTAGTCTTTTTGAAATAATTTTGTTTCTAGAATGCATCAGGCCAGTGAGGAAAGATTTTTGCCTGCTGTAATCGTCTAGAACAAGTGATTCAGCTAAAGGGAGGGAAAAGCTATTTATGTACCACGCCAATACTAGCTTGCGGCGAAACAAGAGCAGGGACTTTTTAGGCAGTAGAGGGAAAAAAACCCGACCTTAACTTTTGTCTGATGGGTAGCTAAACACACTCATCAGACTTGCATTCATTGCACTCAGTCCACCTGGGGACAGAGGGTAGTAAAGGTGGAGTCGGAGTAGCCGTACTTGGGTGTGTTAAGCGAGCCCTAGGCGAGAGTTGGGCGAGGAGGTGCTGGTTACCTGCAGCTCTGCAGGCACCTGTGACCGCGCTCGTTCCCAAGGCTCATCGTCTCCGTCCAGCGCCCGCGGCTCTCCCTGAGCTCCTTTAGGCTCCTTAACCGTGAGCTGGAGCGTCGCCAGGCCCCGCTGTCCAAAGTGGTTGCAAAGACTGCCCGCTCCCTCCTGCCTCTGCTACTGGTATTAAAAACAAGCAAACAAGAGTTTTGAGTTTGTTCCCAGAAGCACGAAACCTTTTCCTTGCTTCAAGCTGTTTTGCACCTTTGATGCTCATAACAATTTCCAGTCAATTTATGCAGCTCAAGCTACTGTTTCTTTAGCTAGGGATTAAAAATAACAAATGTACTTGCATGCTCTCTCCACAGCACTTTTCAGGCTAAGTATTCATTTGGTTATAGGTAATTTATTTAACAATTTAAGAACTTTCTCTCCCCTCCTTCCACTTCCCCAAAAATGGATAGGAAAAAAGTACTCAGAATGAGATACATCATCCTTATAAAAATGGGAATAGAAGCAGGATAGAGACTTTGAGCAAGGCTTGAAGTAAAATAATTACACAAATTGGATCAAGCTTAAGTGTCTTGTTACTCCATTGACAGCCAAGTAATTAGGTGATAACTAACTTCACACCTAGGAAGTTAGAAAATGTTTTTGAAGATAGCTGCACTTTGCAGAACTACGAAGCCATCAGCATGCAACCTGCGCTCATTAGCTGTGCAGAGCATCAGTAATAAAATTTTTTGCGACGCTGAAAGTTCCAGACTGGAGATTGAGGACAGACGTCCCTCCAGACATAAATATGCATTTTGTAATGTATCCTGTTCTAGGAAGACGCACCAGTGTCAAGATTTCATAAGCTTCTCGTATCTATTTTAGCTGAAGACGACAAGATACAGTGTGCAGAAATTCCTTTCCTGACTACTAACTTCTTGAAATGAAAGTTTGTTGTCATGGTTTAACCCCAGCCAACAACTGAGCCCCACATGGCCACAGTGGGATGGGGGAGAGAATCGGCAGGGTGAAAGTTGGGTTTCATCTTGGGTTGATGGTTGGACTTGATGATCTTAAAGGTCTTTTCCAACCTTAATGATTCTGTGAAGTGAGAAAACTCATGGGCTGAGATGAAGAGAGGTTAACACGTAAAGCAAAAGACACGCACACAAGCAGAGCAGAACAAGGAATTCATTCACCACTCCCACGGGCAGGCAGGTGTTCAGCCATCTTCAGGGAAGCAGGGCTCCATCACGTGTAACGGTTACTTGGGAAGACAAACACCATCACTCCGACTGTCGTCCGCTTCCTTCTTCCCCCCCACTTCCTACGCTGAGCATGGTGTCATAGGGTATGGAGTATCCCTTGGGTCAGCCTGGCTCAGCTGTCCCGGCCGTGCCCCCTCCCACCTTCTTGTGCACCCCCAGCCTCCTCACTGGTGGGTTGGGGTGAGAAGCAGGAAAAGCCTTGACGCTGTGTAAGCGCTGCTCAGCAGTAGCGGAAACATCCCTGTGTTATCAACACTGTTCCCAGCACAAATCCAAAACACAGCCCCGTACCAGCTACTGTGAAGAAAATTAACTCTATTCCAGCCAAACCCAGCACAGCTATAGAGTTAACACAACCAAGGAGGAAGCAATACGCAAAAAGAAAATTCCACACTAAATATAGAAGCACTTTCAGGGGCTCATCACAGAAAGAAAAACATTTTGAAGGGGAAGAAAGTGAGGAACAAGAAAGGTCATGATCTTAAATTCCATGAAGAAAAAAAGAAAGAAGAAAAAAAGTCATGTTCAGAAAAACACTAAAATTAAAAGGACAGGAGACTTACTATTAAAGAATACAAAACTTTGAAAATCCAAATTACTTTGTGATGCTCTCATCTGGACCTACCCTACAGTGTTATACAAGACACAGGTTAAATACATCACCCGCATTACCATTGATACTATGGTTAAAAATAAATGTAACGGAAAAGACTACTGTAAGCCAATCTTACACTCGTTGTTCTGCAATGTAAATGAGTGTTCAAATTATTTCTCTACCGAGGGAAGCAACAGGCAGCATATAAATGCAAACAACCTTCATTAGACACATTGTCATGAGTATATTAATCATGTCAAGAAGCATTGCTGAAGTTTCCTTCAGTGCAATTTAACATACCTTACTTTATTAGGATGCACTTAATTTCACTATGTTTTCTCCTCATTATCATTTATGATGACCAATTAAAGTGTTTGTGTCTGTCTCTAAGCAAATTACTTCTGTAATTCTGGTAGCTGAAATTACCACTCATCCAACACTTTTGTCAGCTCATTCCATCTTTCTTTGCCCAGCCTCTGTTAGCATTTTAAAGAGAAAAAGCTTACTTGGATTGATAGTCAGGTATAAAACTGGGTCTTTTTACAGTGTAGACAATAAAAAGTGGGTTGGTTCCCCCCGCAGTTGCCCTGTTATACAGCCTTTGTGGTTTTCTCCTTGGAGTGACAAGCATAACTCACATAGTCAGAAAAAGAACACAAGGAAGCAACAGAGGTCTTGGGCATTATTCTCATCCTGCTCAAAGTTGTGTGCAGTTTAAATTTAATTTCCTTTGGTCAACAAATGCAGTAACTGCATGCAGACAGCAACTTTACCTTTTCTTTTTTCCCCTCCAAAGCCTTCGTATCAGAGTTCTCTCAAGAGCTTTTCCAATGTTGACTTAGCAGGATGTGCCACACCACATATCATGTTTCCAACATTCATAGATAACCCCAAACCATTTTTAATATTCTAAAAATCAAACGTGAGAGGCAGGATCTTTCCTCAACCTTTCACAACAGAACCGTGAGCAGTTCATCTAACTACAGCCCTTAGTTCTTAGCTTCATGTACAGTAAGATAAGATTAAGATACCTGGAAGTTAGCTGGAAATTCTGATTACATACAACGCTTCTGCTGCAGAACTCAGGACAACCAGAAATGTCTGAGCAACATCCGAGATCACCAAGCTATGTCTATGAACTCCCTTATCTGCGGATTACCTTGGGCTCCTGGAACTAACGATAGAAGGCCGATTCCTCAGAAGCTGCTGCAACTCAACTGCAGAGCGACGGAATTTGGCTTGTTTTCTAAGGAAACACATGTTCTTATTTACATAACATTATTTTGACATTATAGTAATGACTTCCAGAAAAATGCTGATAATTGCAAGGATGAAGAAATAAGTCTGAAGACAGTGCTGCCTTTTAGAACAATTATAATTTCATTAAAATAGGAACATAACTTAAAGATAGATTTTATTCTCTTTGATGATTTACTCATGCAAACTGCACATAAAAGAAAACAGTACAGTTTGTGAAACATGTCAAATGTAAAAACCCAAAATGCCAAGTACAGAAGTAGTGTGACATACGTCTCAAAACGGAATCCATGGAAGTACGACTAATAACTTTTCTATTTGCCGAACACAGATTTTAATGGTTCTTTTTCCAGCCCCACTGTTAAATCCATTACCTGTTTACACATCTCCTATACACTTACGTAGACTTATTTTACAAGCGTGACAATTTTGTTATTAAAAAACTCCACTTATATAAATATGATTTAAAAGCCTTTGTGTTTAGGAGAGCAAATTATAGTATAATCAATGAGGGCTTATCTAGTCCACCAAAACTACAGTGAAAAGTGACTGTATAGCTTTCTTGCAGAATTCACATTTTGTGCCTTTGCAATTAATCTCCTTCTCACAAGAGGTCCATTGTATTTCACCATCCTGGAAACGTTCAATAACTGTTACAGCTTTTTACCTTGAAATTGGGAAAGTAAGACTTTTAAACACAGGTGGTTATCAACTCAACTTTCTTAGTTTTAAAATACAAAATATTTAGAATCCCTATTATTTTCATGCTTAAAGCCCTGCAATGATACACATATGACTTAGATACTTCTTTGTCCAGTTTTCATTATAGTATGGTTGTATATATACTGCAGAAATTATGATCTTCCCGTGGATCAATTACATTTTTAGATTTAAAACTGAATCCAATAGAAACTTGATGGCACTGACACTTAAAAAACACATGGAGAAGGAAGAGCAAATGAACTACACAACCCATTATAAATGCATTAAATCTTTGTTATATACATAATGGAATCCTGCTTTACTGCCAGTTGCTACTATGCATCTGTTTTTGCTATTATACAAAGTTTTCCGACCTGAAAGCACACATCTACTTTTTTAAAACAACTTAATCTATTGTAAAATATTGTACTGTATTTTGAACATTAGTACAGAATCAAAATAGATAATGGCACATTTAAAAAACTCAATATCCTACAGATGATTGGATAATGAGAAAAAGTGTACCTACAATCATCTCATCAGAAACAAACTACATCATGGAATGTTAGTTATCCAAGTTCGCACAGTAAATAACATTTTAAAACTGCAATCACCTATCAGCCAGCATCACATTGAAGGCATCTTTAAACATTCAAGCAAAAGACTGCTGGCATTAACTACTGAACCATTCTCACGCACACACCACACACACCACATTATAATTACATTGTTTCCAAGATACGGTAGATACTGATTATTTCCCCCCCCCGCCCCCACAAGAAAGGTATCAAAATTTTTGCTACTAAAAGATGACAGTGCTTACACAATAATTAAGTACAAGTTAGCTTGCAAATACAAGACAATGACAAAAAAAAGGTGTCTTGAGTTGTCTGAAGAAAGATTTTTAGGCTTTTCTGGCATCCAAAACCATGAGTAAACTCCTTAGTCTGTGACTCAAAAATCCACAAAATATCAACCTACTTTGGAATACTAAGTATTCCGTATTTGATAACGCTGTATTTTACAATATGCTTACTGGTTTCAGCCTAGCAACAAAAGGGTAGTTATAGATATCTATTCTGACTGGAGAAATAAAGCTCTCCTTCCCCTCAGAATGGAAGTGTTGGGGGGGGGGGAAACACCTGCCATGAATTTAAAATTAAAAAAAAAAAAAAAATCTATTCAGTAATGATTCTCATCTAGGATAGGTATGTGCATAAGAGTACTGTATCTCATATACTGTACTGGCCCTATTAAACAAATTAAAAAGCCCAACAGTTAAAAAGCCAACCAAAATGCTATACATGAAACAACCCAAGTGTTTTTCTCCCAATGTTCTTCCTCTCGTAATGTGCAAAACAACAAAAAGGCAAAAAGACTAAAAGCAAATGTACTGTTACTGTCTTTCTCTTGCCTAGTGCTTTATGACCTTGCTAACATTACAAAGTCAATAGGGACTATGCAGAACTTTGGTATAAAAATGTCACATAATATTACTATCACAGTCTTGGGGATGACCTTTAGTAATTCCCCCCAATGTTTGTTGAAATAATACCAAATTAAAAATGAAATAAACCACATTGTACTGTACACACACTTTACACATTAAGCACAAAAAATAACTAGTAAAACTAATACTTAAAAAAAAAAGTCTTTTGCAAAGAGACTAGAACTGGTGTTGTGTCTCATCTTCACCTGCCAATCATTAAAGCCAAATTTAAGTTAGATTTTTAAAAATGAATAATTTTAAGCTACAATTTCTCCTAGGTGGAGACTGGTCTTTTGTTGATATCCCTTTAAAGTCACAAATGTATCTCTAAGAAACTGATGCAATGCAAGTTTTTAATCAACTTCCTGAAGGCTGCGACTGGGAGGGAGGTGCCATGACGATCTGGGAAAGCACCGGCTCTGTGCTCTGGTCCGCCATCTGGGTGAGAACGGAGGTGGCCACCGCTTCTGCCTTGGAAGTTGAGCTCACGCCGTTGGAAGTGCTGACAGAACTGTGCTGAATAGCCTCTGTGTGTGGACTGCTTGGCACTGATATGTCTTCCGAACTGTCATCTTTGTCTGCAGCTGAAGAAGAAAAATTAATTCTTTTTTTTCCCCCCCACAGAATGCACATACACCATCACGTCCCAGGTAACAGCAATCACCCCCTAAATAATTAAAACTCATGGTGTAACGCAGCACACACTGCAAAACAATCTTCCTTTCATTTTTTTAAAAGAAAATACTACTTTGTAAGCAAAAAATATGGACTGCAGTATGGAATATTCAGGAAACAAGAACATTTCCACATCTTCAATGTCATGGCTAAAATTGTCTGATTTCCTGCCTAGTAAATCAGCTGGTGGGTACCATGCCTAATTCTGGTGATGAATGCTCATGTCAATAAGCAGTATTTATAGATTGAAAATGCTACCAGATCTCCTAGTGCTATATGAATTGGCTTTAGATTTTTAACATGCTATATGCTGAGTTTGCTTAGTAATCAAATGAGAATAATTCTATGTTCAGTAATTAAAACTTGTGGTCATGAACATGGTATCTGAGAAAATGTTGTTTACACCACTATACTAATTGCACAATACTTCCACAAGCTTTCAACCCACATTCTTTTAACAGAGTGAAGTTCAGTAACTTCTTTAGTATACAAAGGCCTCTCAATAAGATTTAAAATAGTTAAAACTGATTTTAAAAATATCTTCAAGAATACGTCAGGTGTTCACCACAAAACTGAAGTGAATTAGCCACACAGTTCTATCATTTTTTTCTCATGACAGAGGGTAAACGGATTAAAATATAATTTTCAATGTGCAAAACTAGAACTTACAAAATTAGCATGATTTAAAATGTCCTTCTTGCAGACATCCTAGTCACGCTAACATCATCCTTTTTTGCCCACGTTGCAAAAGTTAGCCAAAGCATTATGCAAACACTGTCAAGCAAAAAGCTGAGTTAAAGAAAAAAGAAAAAGAAAATAAGCCTGCTGTTTTTCACTCAGAATTGAAAGTACGAACACCAAATTTAATTATAACTTTTTTCTACCACTCTGTGCTACTCAGTGTTTTCAAGTATTTTTCACAAAAGTGAAAGTGGAATACTGGAAGTCCCTTTTAAAACACTGCTGACTACTGTGTAATGTAACAATATAAAAAGATACACACAGACATAGCCAGAAGCAGTATGCACTATTGCTTGTGACACAGCAATGGAACAAAGCTCAATCTTCTCGAGGCTTGCTTTTGCCAATCCCTTTCAGATTTGCTCAAGATTCACCTACAAATTCAAAAGTTACCCAGGGGAGAAGGAATGGGAAGGGATGACATGAACCCTAAAAAACACTGTGGTATCATAGCCTCATTTCCATAGAAAACCAGGCTAATAGCAGCAACTAAGAACGCTAAGAATGAACAAACAATGAGGAAAGGAAGTTTATGGTGACTGAGGTTTATATGACATACTAACTATGGGTACGAAAACTCAGTAAATTAGCAAGTCAAGTCCCCGACAAAGATCTTTGCAGCAACTCCATGCATACTAAGAACACGCTCCTCTTCAAAGCCTGAAAGCAACAGTTCGATTCTTGACCGCTTCTGGAAAAGAACGGTAAGGTCACAAACAACATAACAATTTCTCGTACACCTCTACTACAAGAGCATGGACATAATCTTATCCACGAGGTCAACTATTTTACAGATACTGCATTTTTTCAAAAACACATCTTTCAAGCATTAAAGGAGATAGAGACAGATGATATTAAGCTAGGTATGCTGACAATTACCACATGTCCTAAGGTTATGTGGCAACTGTATACAGCAAGAGAAAGAAAATTAAAGTACTTCCAAAGGATGTTTGTGATCCTTAGCAGGATTTGCCCGTTCACGAACAGAAAGAACAGGAACGAGTGCCAATTCAGTTAACAGCATTCAACAGGATTTCATCTTTGCTACACCTCTACCAAGACTGACAAGATCCCATGTAAAAACAAGTGAGAAGGAACATACGCAAACTTCATTGAAAACAAACTCTAGTGCCACTTCCCGAAAAATACTGAATTACTGAGTAGCCTGTTCTTCCCCTCAGATGGAACGAAATGGTAGCATGTGGGATGACATGTATCAAATGTAGTCTCCCCACCGTAACACCACCTACTCCTCTTCAGAGCTGTTGCTATTCTCCTATGAATCTCAGTCTTCCTATTATGCTTCTTTTGCTCATCTCTCATTTCCTTGTTGGCTAAATCCTCCTTATCCTCAAGAAGAAGGCTTAATTTTAAATGCTACAAGTCAGAGTCAGAGAGGAAGTAGATCATTATCTTTCAGCCAGAGAGGGAAGGTTTTATCCCTCAACATACATGTTGTTAACTTAACTCAAAAGAAATGGCTGTAATAATACCACAGTGGTAAGGAACATGAGAAAGGCTTGATTTTCTGGTTTGGGTGGTCTCAAGAAGACCGGATATGCAATGGAAGAAACTGTTATGAGAATACGTATGATCACCAATGTACAACAGAAGTTTTCATATCGTTGAGCACATGAACAAACATACTGTGCTGAAGAGACGAAAGCAGGCAATTCAGGTATTTTCAGATGCTAGGGGGAGGGGGACACAGACCTAACGCTACATTAAGGTAATAAATTTGACTGGAAGTGTAAATCCTTGCAAGAACTACAAAGTAGTATTTAGAAATGAGGTGCCACCCTAAAGAATAGCTATTTCAATTTCCTCAAAACCCTTTCTAATGTAGCCCTAACTTTACAGGAATAGCGGCCAAAAACTGAGTACAGAACTCCATTTGAAGAATTAAAACCAAACAAGAAAATCTACTCAATGAATATAGAAGATACTTAAAGTCATCTTACTACAAAGGTGACTTGTTTTCTTGCGCCTTAAGACTGGGTATAAAGAACAAAGGACTTTTGGAAGAACACAGCAAAGTCCTATTTAAATTCTGACACTTTTTTTTTGCTTTTTTTCGTAGCTGACCAGAGAATTGCCAGGCACAGGACTGTAGTTTCAAGAGTGCAGCTGACACATACCAAAATCATAACGTAGCTAACATTGTAAAAAAAAACATAGGCATTTTAACTCTTTAAAGGCTCCCCCAGCTTTGTCTCAAACCAAGGAAAATGCATGGTCCAAATTAGAAAATAATCTATAGAAGTAATGTGTGCCGTACATTAGAAGGCTGAGAATTTACAGGCCTACATCACATGAACTTTCCTGAAGGCTACATAGTTCCTAGGCAGGCTGCGTCATCAAGCCATTTTGGTGATGGAACACAACGTAGGCTAGACTGAGCTACAGAAAAGATTTTCAAAAATACTAAACAAAGCACAGGGAAGAATCTTGAGGATGTACTAAAAAGTACCTTTTTAGTCATCAAACATTGCTGTTATTTTCTTCTTAGCATTGCTTACCAATAGCTCTCAGTAAGGTAAGCAAACAAGGAGGGATTTCCATCTTCGGAAGAAAAAACCCGACCAAAACCAAAATGGGAGTGAGTATGCAAGCATTGACATAAGATCCAGAACTCCTTTCGGTCCCCTGATCATCACTAGAAAGGAAGCCTCATGGTAATTCTTATCAGGCCATCCATGGACTAGAGAGGGAGCCAAGCCTAGAAATGCTCATTTCCAGTGAGTTGGTCTTTGTGACTATCCCTTGTGGTCACTGACGGACGTTCACCTGTCCAGAACAGGCTGTAGGAACACAGTGAATTATTCGAGGTCTGAAACTGGTTAGCCACCTTCTACCATTTCTTTAAAACCAACTAGAGAAAGAACACACAAAAAAAACATTTAACACCGTCTATAGTACAGTCTCTATTTATCTTCCTTTATATTCCTTTTTCTACAAATGTTCTTGAATATTATGATGTCCTTTTGGAAAAAAAATGAATACACCTAAAACACCCTTTTCAATGATTTTTTTTTCCAAACTTGAATTTTCACAATGCATTTCCTTCTCATAAGTTTTCACCTTTTTCCTGCTCCAAGTACAGAAAAAGCCTGAGAAAACATAGCAGTATTGTAGAAGACTTTTAGAAGTAATCTGGTATAGAAGAACTAAAATGAAAAATAAATGACTAGCATTTAGATTTCTCCTACACACTGCACATTCCCCTCCCAACATTTAAAGAAGCATTCACAACCAGGAGCATACTTCTTAAAAAAAAGTTTAAAATAAAGAGAAGTTTAATAAAAAGAAGTTTAAAATAAAAAGAAGAGAAATGAAAGAAGTTTGAACTGGCTGAAAACTCAAACATTGCAACAGAAATTCATCCATACTGCCTCAAAGCACAATAACCATTTTTCTGGTTTCTCTGTCCTGATGACACCCTCTTTTGAAACAGGCACGAGAGTTTTTAAATAAGGAAAATATGATCCCAAAAGCAATCTGTGCATAGTTCTGTTTTTCACTTGGCCCGAGACAAAAATGTACCTGGGAAATCCAAAAGATCTTAAAGATGTATAAGTAGGTGCCAGAAATACCCTGAAAAGCAACACAGTATTTGTGGCTATTTAAGCCCATCATATATGAAACCCCATTAAATTGTGGGCTTAGCTATTAAAGCACAGCCTGCGCGGTATAAACCGGCGCTGCCCCGGCAGTGCACAATATGCAGCACCACAGGAACTCTCTAATCTGGTGTCTTCAATTTCTTCCACAGAGACAGACTGTTAAACCACTCAATACATTTTTGAAGCAATTCAACTTAGATTACTTGATGAACATAATATGTTTATTTAAAAATACTTTCTATGAACACCACTTTCATGAACGCATTAACTGAAAACATTTTGTCCTCTCATAAATTGTCCTGCGGGTACGGAACTTAGCCAGCATGCTTTCCTACCAATACTCACACACAGATACTTTGACAAAATCCTTTCAGAGAGATGGCACTACAACTATCATTCATGTTCAACTTTGACTTTCAAGAGACTTTTCAAGAAACTAGGTGAGCTATGCTTCCAATCTCCTTGCTTACTATTATTTTTTTCCTAAAATGTAGGCTTTTCCCACTGATTAGTATTTTAGTTCTTACTCATTTTGCATTCTTTAATAAATCAGGAACATTAATAGTCCTTTTCTGAGGGCAAAAAATAAGCATTACTAAACAGGCCGTTCGTTAATTCTTCAGTGAAGAATTAGCATGTAATTAGTTTGCCAGTTTAAGACTTATATTTAAATATTTTTCATGCCAATTCAGGAACACGCAGCCTCAAAACATCAAAATTCAAGAAACCTACAGTTTTTTGTTGAAAAACCTTGCATGCATAATGTTATCCCCTAGTAGCTTCCGTATGAAATTATGTTGTTCTGTCAGATGGGAGCCATAATGGCCTCATCCCTGCAGCAATCATTGTTAATATAAATCCCAAACATATTTCTGTACTGTTCCAATTTACTCCAAGACGCTATTTTCCATCTTGTCAAAACGACTGGAGATCAAAGGACCAAGATTTATAAGCTCAAAACTGACAAAATCAGTATTCTAAATATATATGGCAATGGAGAGTTGCTAAATCTCCTGAATCTTTTAAATTAAAAAATATTGCCCATTCTGATGAAATTGCTTACAATGACTACAAGTAAAGATGGTGGCCATTAAGTTTTATCGCAAGCACCTGAGGATCTGTTTGCACGCAATACAAAACGTTCCTTTATTCTCCTGAATTACTGACACTGGCAAATTAAAATGAAGTGGCTACATATGGCAGAAACAATCTTCACATTTACAAATACCCTGAAATATCACTAAATCATAAAAATGAAAGCTGTGGGTTATATATTATGAATGTTGCCTAATGCATTCCCAGCTCGGTTATTTGTAACAAATTTGTGTACAATGGACAAAATTGGCCATTTATTCTACAGTAGCAGCAGCTGGTTGTGGCACTGTGTATCATATCCAAAAATGAAGTTACCAGTCAGGAAAGCATAATTAACCTTTAAAATGCTGGAAGGATAAAAATCAAATGAGCACCTTTAAGTAAAATTATGTATTAGAAGAAAAAGAGCTACTGAAACTCTCAGAACCGCTTTTTAAAATACCCTGTTTATAGAAATGTAGTTGCTTAATGTGGAAATCAAAACAACCTAGAAGACGTTGTACAGTAGGAGCCATGAACCTGCATGTGATTATTTTAACGGCTTGACTGATCCTGGATGTTATGGTAAATGAAGACAGCTGTTATATTACCTCTACTGAAATCTCATTATGGTGAAGGAAAAAAAAAACCCACAAGGACCTTTCACTGTACTAGGCTAAGATAAAGTATAAAAAATGGTTTATCATGTGCTCTTAATACTTCAATTATATTTTCCAAAGCAGGTGTAGTAACCAATAGTCCTTAAATGCTAATTATCATATGCATTTATTAAACCAACATAAAACCTTCAATGTTATGCAACACTTCAACAGAAAGGACTTAAAAACATATTTCTAAATATCACATATTCATTCCCATCTTCCAATAATCTTGGAGATTAAAAAAAAAATCTTTAATGTAATATTAGAACTGCATTTCTCAATTTTAATGTTCATTCAGTTCACTTTGGCAGTGCTTCATTGATGCAGCCTAAGGCTATAGGTAATGGAACATTACTCACCATGATAGCCAGATTTCTTCTGCATGGCGGTTACAGGGCAATCTTTATGAGCCAGAAGAAGCTGTTTCAGCTGTGCCACTTCATTTCTCAGCAGGGTGACTTCATTCTAAAGGAGAAGAAAGTTATGTACTTTACCAGGCTCAAACTACACACATTTTGAAGGTAACTATTAAGTTTTATAGGATTTTCAGTTGTTCATTTAGGGGTAGATAAAATACAAGAAGTTTCCATTCGGTATATATTGTAAAAATGTTTACATTTATTTTATCTTAATATTAGCTGAAACTTGGGTAACTTTATTTTATGATTTTCTTAAACTAGGAAATGCTTTTTTTGAAAATACAACATATGTTTTTCAGTTTGCAGATGCAGTCTACATATAGTCTGATTCACACGATCCAGCTACTGTAGGACTCTTCTGCAAGGTTTTGTGATGAATTCTAATCAGAGTGAACATACATTTAACTGCCCACATTTTAACAGATGCCACAGCCAACGTTAAAAAACGTAAAAAAAAAATCTGCCAATGCAGAATGATTTTTGCTGACTATATTTGTACTTGGACCTTTAAAAAGAAAATCTCATGCACTGGAAAATAATTTTGTAAATGTTTGTTGATTTCCATATTTATTTCCTCTTTGGCAACCATAAGTAAACGTGTTATATGAACGAAGCATTGATAATAATGACAAAATCCTGAAATGTCAGCTTATGTCAATAAAGTAGAGTGTAATGTAGGAGACAGCACCTGCAGAATCTAGTGACTGGGTTCATTTCCAGGCTGTGCCTTTCCACTATTGGGTGACGACCTTAAGCAAGGTCATTTTACTTCTTTGTGCTTCAATTTCCTCATTTGTAAAATAGAGGACAGTGATACTTACCTTCCCTGTAAAGCAGTTTGGTATCTATAGATGAGAAGCACTACATAACTGCATATATGTGACAATCCAAATTAAGAGTGGTATGGCATTCTGATAGACACATTTTTACATTAAATAGTAGAAAAATGTTTATGTATCATCTACAGAACCAAGTTATCTGTAATGCTTTGTGATCCCCATGTCTTGTCACAATACGTGCTCTTCATGGGTTATTTTAAATATAAAACCTTTCCATTGATACTTGAAGTTACTTAAACTATAAGAGCCTTTGCACATTAGCATAATATACCACACACGACATAATTGTTTGGTAAATGCATATATTTATGCATTTGGGAGCAAGTTAAAGAAAAAAGCAAAACACAGGAAAATTGGATTGCAACTAAAATTATTTGGAAAAAAAACCACCACGAGAAAGTCAACCTATTTACTTGCAAGCTAGAAATAAGGCAATGCAGTCAGAGAAGAGATGAATTACAACTAAAGGATTCCAAAGTAAGGAAAGCAACTTTTAGGAACAGAACACAATTTATTAGGTTTAATTACACTAAGTAACACAGCTTATAGTTATTGTAGCTAAAATACCAGAGTTTTAAAAGAAAAGCTCCTCTGTGTCCTCTCTCTCCATTTAGAAGACAAAAGAAATTCAAGCCTTTACAGTAGCAAAATCCTCTTAAACTTTGAAGGACTACTTTTCTATTCAGTCATTTTATTGTGTCTAAGTATCCCTTTTAGAAACTTCATATTTAAAACAAAAGCAAGAGCTGACAGACAGACAAAAATCTGACTTCATGGACGTTTCTAATGAAAGGGAAATGTGACTGCAAACAAAAAAAGGTCACGATGTAAAAAAAACAACCAAAACCCCCATAAAATCTCTACCAGCTGGCATTACATGTCCTGAAATCTTGGCTGTTAAGAAAGCACACTACTTCTTCCTCTGGCTCTTGGTCTCCTCTTCGTTCACCATGTTATTTACCGAGGAGCCACAAATCTGGATGCCAAGCAGGCAGCTGCACAGGATTGGCATAGCTGGCGGGGGGGGAGCGCTCATGCAGTTTTGAGACACTTCTTGCTAATCTACAGAAGTAGCAACGTCCAAGAACATTAAACATTACTTCTGTTAGTTTAAAGGAATGTTGACAAAACAAGTAATCAAATTGGGATAAGGTTTTCACAAATCTTCTTACCTTCATCTCCCATGTTTTAAGGAAGAATTTTATACACAAACAGCACAGATAAGTATCAAGTTGCTGCTTACCAGTGTAAGTAAAACTAATGTTTACGAAAAATTTTTGAAAAGGTGGTTTATACATTTTCAGTTGTATTATAAATACAAAGAATTTTGCTAACAGAAATAGAAAATGCAAACATTATCTTACATTAATGCAGATCTGAAAAAAAGCACACTCCTATACTAAAAAAAAAAAAAAAGAAAAAAGAGTTGAGGTATTCTCATTGAATGCATAGCTAGCATTGTTATTTACACAAACACTGTGTGCCAACAATGCTATGTGCAATGCACAAATCATTCCTGAAAATAGTACGTGGCATGTCACAGAATGGCAATCTATGATTGTCATTTACATATGACCAGTAAGAACCACTTCTAAGTGGTAATAAAGGGGGATGTTAGAACCACCTCCTACACATATTGTAGTTTCTTACCATGTATGTGACAATAGCAAGTCTTCCCATCTCATTCAAAACATGTTAACACGTAGTGGTCATTTAACATGTGGTTAACATGTTGAAAACAGGCTAGCAAGAAACACATGGAATAAACACTTCAACAGTTGGCATGAAGAAAGATTATTTCAAGTTTTCATGCTGGAAAGGTCCTCCTCATAAATGACAAAGTCAAGTGTAGGCATCAACATTTCTTTAAATGTACCTCACATGCGATCTAAAAGAATTTATGTTCCCACATTTCAAAATGTGCCAACATTAGAAAGCAGGTTTCTGGAGAAAGCGTATCTATTTTTACCTGCACTTCATTTTTCAAAAGATATTTTCCCTTCTGTATTCTTACAAAGATATACCACGCAGCGTACAATATGTTCTTCTGCATCTGCCCAATTTCTCCCTGGATCCGAAACACATAGGTAATAGTGGGACCAGACGCCGCCTTACTCAGCAAAGTGTGGGACAATATTTGTGAGGTATATTTACCAAAACTGTCATCAGAGACAGGTAGATGTGACTTATGGGGATAGGGGATTGTCTGTGGCAGAGTTAAACACCGCTCACTCTTCCTGCTTCTGGTTGGAACAAGATACCCCTGTATGGGAAAGGACCATCATCACTTACAGGCATTTCTTTCATAATTCAGCCTTCCTAAAGCAGCTTCGGCAGCATTAGTACAAACCACCACTTGAGTGCTGATCCTTTAAAACCTACAATGACCTTGTGAGGAAGGCAGACCATTCTTCTACTAATACGTTGCCCTCTAAGATTATTAAAGCAACAGAGACCATATAATGAACTTTGGCACCTGATCCTGCAATACGACTGAGTTGCCACTGGGAACCCACTGTTTAGATTTTCTTAAAACATGTTATATAGCATGCCATACCCTGCAGTATAGTGCAAGGCACAGAGGCAACACAACTTGGTACATAAAATTTAAGATCAATAAACAAGTCAGCACATTAGTAGAAAACGCAGTCCACAAAAAACAAACAGTAAATAAACTTTAAAAGGTTGGAAGCATGAAAAAACCCCTTACACAACAGGGCCTGTAGTAAAGACAGCCAACCTAACCTAAGTATGTTACTGGTGTGATGTAATGGATGGAAATTTTCCTGTAAGCAAAAATTTGAAAAATAATGCTGAAAAAGGAAATCACATTCAAACATTTAAAAGAAGAAAGTAGGCAGAAGTTAATCTACAGAAAGGTGAAAACTACGCAATGAAATATATACATCAACCAGGTAAACCTCTTCAAAATCTGTATGTACTGTTAGAGAGCCACCAGTCTTAAAAACTTGACATTAGAAGCTTTGACATAGGTATTACAAGAAAGATACTAACTGCATTGAAAGAAGTCAGAATTGTTAGGTTGAAGCAATGCAATGTAGTCATTTTGGTATTAACCTACTTTTGGAAATATGACATCTCCATAAATTCAGCTGAGCAGGTCATTTGGATATTAAACAAAATATGAACTACTAAACCCTAACAGTCAGTCTATAAAACTGTTCTAAGGCAAAACTCCAAAGTTATTAAATTTACTATTAAAGTAAGTAATCATGGGTCATTACTGCCCACTATGCTGATCAGCTGTGTTAGCCTGTCAAGTGAAGAATTATTATGGAAATATAGGATTGATTAATGTTTTCACATAAAGTGCAGTTTAATTATTTCTCTGACATTCAATTTTCTTTACAAGTCATTCTGTTCTTCACAGTTAACAGTTTTGCTTTTGGCAGACTGTAAGAAAATTCTTTTTCTTGAATTCGCTATTACTAAGAGTTAACTCTTAGAAATCTGGACATATTTTAGTTACAGTACTTACACCGTTTTCGGTTATAGAAATTGGTATGTGTAAGTTAAAGGCAGTTCACATAATACCAAAAGTTATTTTCACTAGGGAAACTGAAATATAGCCAATCTTTTTTGTTCTTTTGTTTTTCTTCCTATACATCTGCCTTCATTTGTTTCTTAAGAGTATTTAAGCCACGGTGCTACATACCATTTTGTAATTAATGGATTTACAGTGACGACTGTTACTGCATTAAAAGAACATGTCTACAGATCATGAACAGGTATGAGAAGACTATATTTGCAAAAAATTTAACTAATGCTGGTGCACAGTGTCATGATTCTTGGAACACAGTAAACAATTTCACATTGGTATGAATTTCTTACATTTTACAGCCTGGGATGCTGAAAATTTTTAAAGACATGAAGCTGAAGACAAGTGATACAATTACATGATAAGAAGTAATCTCAACACATCCCACTTTCCAGTTGGTCAAGCTGGGACTTTATCTGTATCAAACAGCATGAAAAAGGAGTTTTAATAGGAAGGAAAAGTCTGTCAATCTGACTCAGTGAACAGCTCAGGTGAAAGAACAAGAAGTGAAACTTAAAAATATCAAAACATTTTCCATTGCATTTTCTAAATGAATTGTTCATTTCGGAAATTACATCATTTTTCCTTTCTGCAATTCTCAAAATAAAGCTTTCAGACTTTTATTTAGAAGCAATACTTTGTGTCAATTCTCACATGCTGCTGGAAAACATTAAGAAAGTATGCCTTAACATTTAATAGCAGTTTACACAAAAGGGTCATGGATTGTTCTACAGGGGTAAAAGTGTGTCCACATGACAACTTTCCAACAACTGATGACCTCAGATGAGGTGGAAAAATGACTGGCACCATATACACTAGACTACCCTCTTACAGTATACTTCCCTCACTATAGGATTTACGCACACTGGAAGGGCAGCGTGGTGAAATTTGCACTGCCGCTGCCTGTGCTGTACCTGTTCTGTGGACAAAAGAAGCCTTCAGTTTCCAGTGATGTCAATCTGGCACCTTGCACGACCACTACATTCACTTTAAAGGAAAAAAAGTGAAGTTAAAAAGAACCAAAGGAAATCAAAGCAAATCTTATTTAAATAACTCAGGCTATGATACAAATTATTATGAGCAAGATGGTTTTAAGGTAAGGCTATTACTTTGCTAATAAACCTTTACTCCAACACATCCTGTCATCCTTGTTTAGTATCACAGTCTGAAAGTTATTTAAAATGGAACAAAGGACAAAAGGGCATGATCCCAAAGGTTACACATCTTGAAATCTGAGCATTCTCTTACATACTTATTTTACTGCTATATGCCATTAGTGCTGAATTTTCAATTCTGACCAGAGCCACCAGTTACAAAACCATTTATATTTCAGATTTCATGCAAAGTTTAAGTTCCATTGATCCAGGATCACTGTCTAAGAATCGAAAAACTAATACATTTTTACTTGAAATAAAAAGTATACCTGTAACTGGCCATTTAGCGAGCTCAGGTCCTCGGCTTTTTTCTCCAATGACTGTACCCAGACTTTCCGTTTCTGTCGGCATCTGGAAGCAGCAGCCCGGTTTCGCTCCAGGAACTTTCTTCTTTTCTCATCAGGGTCTTCATTGGCAGCTCTTCTTCGCCGACCACCTGTATTTGGTGTTTGTGGCGCAGGCTGAGCCGGTGATGCCTGGAAACAGTAAAAAGTATTAAAGTTAACAGTATAATACTAATCACGACTTAAGCTACAGCACTAGTATAAGTACACGTCGTACCTTGACAAGAGCATTCACAACATTTCTAAACACATTCAGGTTAAACACATTTCTTTTGTGGAAAGCTATGTCACTTAACTCTACAGCTATGTTTTAAGATCTTTTACTGTATCTACACTCCTTACCACTTTATGTTAACATGTAACATTTTAACCACGGCTTTAGCTTTGGTTTAAAATTGCACTAAAAGCAGCCACTCACTTCGAAAATGTTACATTTATATGACAGTCGCATTTGGCAACTGAATAAAGCCTGGAAGCAATACTTCTTTAGATGGACTCTCACACATTCTTTTACCAATTCTGATGACACAAGTATTTACAAAAGGTGAACTTTAAAAAACTCTTTCACCCAAAATAGCTTTTAAAAGTTACATT